CAGTTTTACAGCCGCACACGCCGAGACGCAGACACACACACACACACACACACACACACACACACACACACACACACACACACACACACACACACTCCCACAGCAGAGACGGAGACCTCCTCTGCCACAGAGCCCTCCATCTTTGTTGAGTTCTCAATTTTATCACAGATCCTCATAAGTAAAAACAACCACTTCCCACCCGCCCTGCCTCGCCTCCCGCCCCTCCCATACACCCCATATGTGGGAACGTGCACACAAACATATAGCGGAGCCAAACTCAGCCACCCACACACACACATATCTACACAAAACACATACAAATGTACGTCTAACCATCCTCTCACATTGAAAACACAAAGTCCTTGAAGCAGGCACTCACATACTGTACATCACACACTCAAACGCACACATACATATACACCCTCCCCCCCCCGTCGTGGCTCATTGTTGCTGTAGCCTGCTTGTCTGTTGTGATGGTTGTGTTGTGTTGGGGTGGCAGCTTTACGTTTTTGATAAGGAGGGGCAGGGGATTCAGTGACTGCTCCCCACGGCGAGGTCTTAGCAACAGTCGGCAGCAGCAGACACCCAACCTGTCGTCCAGATCAGTCTCTGGGGGAGGCAGAGAGAGGGGGGGGGGGGTTGGGGGGCTAGTGGAGCATCTCTCTCAGCTTGGTCATCTCCAGTCAGAAAGAAGAGACAGACCTTGGGTTCAGCAGCCAAGCTTGGCAGGCAAACGAAAGAGAAAAGAGGTGGACGGCAGGAGAGGCCAGAGCATAGCAAAAGAGCCATCCAGTCCCCAGGATTAGTCAGTGAGTTTGGCAGAGCCTGGCCAGGACTGAGAGAGAGATAGGTAGTAGAGAGACAGACGGCAAAAAGGACCTGGTGCCCGGCGTCTATTCAGAGCCAGCGAGACGAGGAGCCACAGACAGAGCTGGGACCTGGTGCTCGGTGGCTGCGTGGCTGGTCTGGAGTGGCTCACCCATATGGTGCTCCGCTCTGTTCCTGCTCCCTGTCTAAATCCATATGCCGCTGGTGGAAAGGTGCCCCTCTCTCCCCTCTCTCCCCTCCTCCCCTCCCACCTCGCTTGAAGAGCATGCAGACCCTCACCCTCCCCACAACCTCCCCCTCAAACCACAGGGGAGGTGTTGGGAGGTGAAGCCCTAAAGGCTTGCCCCCCCCCCCCCGTCGCTCCTACCTCTTAACCCCTCAGAGCTGCTTAGCCCATTGTCACTACAATCTGCCACCATAGCCTTGGTGTTGTGCCCCCCCCCCCCCCCTTTCCC